TGCATAAATGTAGTAGCTAAAAAGCCAAAGTTACCTAAAAGAATAAATGGGAAAGTGTATTGTAAGTCTACAGAACAAATTTCTACACGCGCCCCCCTTCCCCCTCATGACATACGTCATGTCCCGCGTGATAAAATGTCTCTCAGCAAGCAGTTGAACTGAAGGAAAAAAGAACGAAGTTTCTGTCTGTATTGGTTTAGAAGTCCCATTTCTGTCCCCACAGGGGGCGCTCGGATACCCCAAAAGGGGCCCCTTTCCCCTCATGACTTACGTCATGTCACGCGTGAAAAATATCTCTCAGTAAGCAGTTGCACTGAAGGAAAAAAAGAACGCAGTTTCTATCTGTATTGGTTTAGTAGTTCTTTTTTTGCCCCACTGGGGGCGCTGGGATACCCCAAAGGGGCTCCCTTTGAGGCACAGGTGCACTTAGGGATCACTCAACATCGAAATGACGGTCATAGTGAAGGGACACGACGCATTGCAAGCTAGCACAAAGAATAGTGCGCTCCGAGGGAGGTAGCCCACTTTGGGGCCTCCCAGGGCCCCCCTGGGGCACTATAGAGTGAAATGAAGGTCATAACTGGTCTTAGGTGACCAGTTGCGCACATTTTGGCGCAAACCGCAAGTCTCTACGACGCTTCGTTCAAAAGTTGCAAAAAATCTGATTTTTTGGTAAATAATATTTTTTAAGGGGGGTAAAGGGGGGGTCTGCGGAGGGTACCACTTGGGCACCACTTCTTAAAGTGTTCAATAGGACCTAAAGAGCCTACGTACCAAGTTTCATTGCTAAATCATTATTTGCAAGGTGGAATCCCTTAGCTGCCGGACTAATTGACAGATGGAGGGAGAGGGGGGGGTCAGGGAGTAGCGACGTAGATGCTAAAGATGTGGTGCGGCTGAGAGCCTTGAGTGTGGGGGATATTGGCAGATTGGGGTTACAGGGGAGAGGGGGGGAAAGAAAGGATAGCGCCAGATGGGTGAGGGATGAAGAGGAGATGTGTGGGGAATTTTAAAATGACTAGGGCCTTTTTTAATAATATGTCTTTCATAAATTTAAGTCCAGGAAAAGTTAAAATAATTATTAAAATTCTTAATAAATTACCGGTGTGTCGGACAATAATAATGAAATAACTTTATTGTTAGTTTGCTATGGGAATTTACTGTCCGACGCTGTAATAATTAATTTTTCGTGTCGGACAGTATTTGCGATATGCGAATAATAACGTTTTTATCGCGTCGGACAGTTATCTGTCGGAAAATTGGGCCGTACCCTTCAACAAGAGTTCAAATTCAGAATCAGACTCAGAATCAAACTCCAAGATAATCCAACACGCCAGCAAAAAAAGATGTCAAAAGGTAAATTTTCCTGCCATAAATATAAATCTCCGCTTCCTTATTTTAAACTTCTTTTATTAATATTACCACATTATTACTAATCAATGAAATCATCTGTCCAGTACAAACGACCTAAGTCCAAGAGCACAAGTGAATCTGACTCTGAAAGTGACTCCAAAACAACACCAAAGAAGAAACGGTTTAAGGTAATATTCTTCTGCTTTACAGAAACTTCTGTATTATTTTTATACATAAAATCATTCATTCATCACCATTCTACTAACAGAAAACGGAGTTAATATCTGAATCTTCAGATGAATCTGATGCCCCTTCTCGAAGAAAGAAAAAAAACCTTCAAGGTTTTTTTGATCATCGTTTAAATGAAGTTTTAACCTTTATACCAATTTCATTAATACATTAATAATTACCCTTTCCACAGAAACAACAAGATGTTTCCGAATCCAATAGTGATTCTGATAGACATTCAAAAAGGAAACTTTTGAAGGTAATATTACGTCCACATCTTTCACATTCCAAATTATCTTTACAATACTTCTATGATTTGCTTCCAACATTCCAGAAAAAACCCTCCGATTCTGAAACTTCCAATAATTCTGATTCAGATTCAGAACATGTTCCAAAGAAGAAAGTTTTCAAGGTGACATTCTTCCTTTTTTTAAATCACATATAAAATTTTCTTCTGTACTCTAATACAGTACCAACTTTTTTTACTTCAGAAAAAGAGAATTCTTCCAAAGAAAAGGAACAAGCTATCTCCAGCTTCAAGCGATTTAGATACATCAGATGATGAGAACCATAACTACAAATGAAATGTGTTGATTCAAATTCAAGTATAATTCAACAACAGACTCTGATACAAATAATGTATAAAATCGATTCACTTTTTCTAAGTTTATGCCACATTAATCATTGCACTTTGTACAAGTCCCGGACCCAGCAGGCAGTTTAGTGGGCCAGAGCACTTGTCAGGGATGTAGCTCTCTGATGGTCAGGGGGTTACTCGGGAGTGAGGGTTGTAGAATAAGGAAAGAGTCCGGTTACCTTGATACAAGCTCTCAGCACTCCCGACACTTGGGTTGGTCTTGGCCGCTGGCAGGCCCCACACCGACTGCCGAGCCCCGGCACGGCTCGCCAGTCGGTTCCCTACCTTCCCGAGCATCTGCCTTCGCTTGCACTTTTCGGCTGGGCGGTCCCCGCGTGACCACCGTCACATCACCCCCAACCGAAAAGCGTGCGACCCCGCACGCCCAGCCACCCCCCCCCCCCCCCACGGACAGGTGCAGCTGGCATGCAGGGCCAAAAGTTACTGAATTTAAAGCGTAAAGCCGAAAAAAGAAGACGAACTAAAGTGGAGATGCCCGGGAAGCGACTCGAAAAATTAAATAAAATCTAAACGCGAAATGGAGATTTGAAATTGAAGGCCAAAATGGCGAATGGACTAAAGTTAACTTGACTGAACGAATTTACCCTTTGGGGCGAGCCAGTTAGCTGGGCAGCCCTATGCTGCGGAAAAACATTGCGAAAATTGTTGAAAAATTTAAACATTGAAAACTGAGACTTTGGAAATTTCTATGCGACTATGAGCTGGATGCCAGCTAGGATGAGTGCAATGTTTTCCCGAACCATAGAACCCCCCAGACGCAAATCAAGTGTTGGTGGTGTAAATGGGACAGAGCAATTTTTTATTTAATTTGGTGCCAAAGAATGAAGAAATTTTAGATGGAAAATAGAAAGAGAAGTCGTCGGCGGAGCTGCGATGCGACGTCCACGGGAGTGTTCTGCGAAGACGCGCCATCAACGGAGAGGCGCGGCGCCCGCGTCTCGACGCCGGCAGAAGGCGGGCGCCGCGTCTATCGCGGTCCAGGCAGTCGTCCCCGGGGGCGTCGGCCGCTGGAAGGTGGAGTTGAAGGCCACGGCTGCGTTCTTGGGGACGTCCCGGACGATCAGATGGAGAGACCGCCACGGCGCGCTCGTTGTGGTGCGCGCCCGCACGGCTGCGCTCATGGGGGCGTCCCGGCGATCGGATGGAGAGACCGCCACGGCGCGCTCGTGGTGGCGCACGCCCGAAGGTGGAGTCCAGGCCCCTGGCGGCGCCCTTGGTGACAGCCCGTCGCACGATCGCCCCTTGCTGCCTCGGTGCCTGCCCCGCTGGTGTCTGGGCAGGGCGTCGGTGGGTGTTCCTGCCAGGGCGGCGACCGCTGTAACACAGGCAACCGGACAGGGGAGGGACGAAGGTGCGGTCCAAGGGTCAGGGATGTTCGTGACCCCGTAGACCATCAGGGGCAATAGAGGGCTGAGCCAAAGTTAGTACAAAGAGACCGAGCGGGCAAGAAAGACAGAGAGCGCGGGGTGGCCGCAGGGCAGGCTCTTCTTCTCGCCGCACCGGCAAGGGCCGGTCCGGCCTCGGCTGCGGCCACCTAAACGGTGTGGCAGACCAAAACCTCGTCGCGCTGCTGGCCGTCAGCCTCCAAGGCGTCGATGATCGGCGCCAGCGTTGGTTCCAGGCGCTGCTCGTGGGCCACGAACTGGTCGAGCTCCGCCCCTGCAGGAACCGCCACCACAGCAAGGCCACCCGGCACTGGGTCAGTCGGCGCCGGCCCGTCTGGGGCCTGCACTGCGACAGCACTGGCCTCGGGTGACCGCGTGGACGGAGGCGTCGACCTCCGACTCAAAAAGACTCGCCGTGAGCTGACTGAGGTGTCAGCGACGACCTGCTGCTGCCTCTGCTCGCTGGCGTTGCACGCTGACGCAGGCAGAAGTGCAGCGCTAGCCGCGTGGGCTGGCGGCAGTCGCGGTGCACTGGGCAGGGCCTTCCGGGTCTGGGTGCGGTGCTCGCTGACTCGGCGGGCAAGCGGGCGTTGGCCCCGCCATGGGCCACGCGGAGGACGGAGGCCACGGGGTCAACGTGCAAGAGGCGTCCTTCCGAGAGGGAGGACGGTTGTTCCAGGCTGGACGCACGGCATAGGCGGCCCATGCCCACGGGGTGACGGTCAGCTTCTCCAGGTGACGTCGCACAAGGCGGCGTTATCGAAGTCCTCCCACTGCGGGATGGCGATGAAGGGGCCGTCGGTGACGTCCTCGCCGCTGGCCGCGGACGAGGGCCCAGGCCCGTCCTGGGGATCTCGGGCTAGTTCGCTGAGAGGTGGGTCGAAGCCTTGAGCCATATGATGGTGGTGCGATCGCGGGGAAGACGCGCTTCGTTTTGTGGGGTTGAGGGCGAGTCGAGAAATAGACGAAGAGGCCGGAGCGCGACGAGACCAGGATAAAAGGAGAGAGAAAAGAGAGAGTGTGACGCTAAAGGTGCTAGAACAGACTAAGACGGACTAAGACTAAAACTGAAACTAAAGCACGGTGTGCGGCTTAACCTAAGAAGTGCCCAATCGGCCACCGGCCTGCGGGCTTATCGCGAACACACAGGCGCGGCGCGGGCTTAACCTAAGGAGTGCCTAAATACTAAGACTAAAATTAGACTAAAACAATGAAGTAAAAACTAAAGCACGACTCGGTGCGGCTTAACCTAAAGAGTGCCCAATTAGCCTCCGGCCTGTCGGCTTTTCGCGAACACACAGGCGCGGCGCGGGCTTAACCTAAGAAGTGCCTAAAAACTAAGACTAAAATTAAACTAAAACAATGAAGTAAAAACTAAAGCACGACTCGGTGCGGCTTAACCTAAAGAGTGCCCAATTAGCCTCCGGCCTGTCGGCTTTTCGCGAACACACAGGCGCGGCGCGGGCTTAACCTAAGAAGTGCCTAAAACTAAGACTAAAATTAAACTAAAACAATGAAGTAAAAACTAAAGCACGACTCGGTGCGGCTTAACCTAAAAAGTGCCCAATTAGCCTCCGGCCTGTCGGCTTTTCGCGAACACACAGGCGCGGCGCGGGCCTAAAACTAAAACATGCCCAATTAGCCTCCGGCCTGTCGGCTTTTCGCGAACACACAGGCGCGGCGCGGGCCTAAAAACTAAACCTGCCCAATTAGCCTCCGGCCTGTCGGCTTTTCGCGAACACACAGGCGCGGCGCGGGCCTAAAACTAAACCATTCCCAATTAGCCTCCGGCCTGTCGGCTTTTCGCGAACACACAGGCGCGGCGCGGGCCTAAAACTAAACATGCCCAATTAGCCTCCGGCCTGTCGGCTTTTCGCGAACACACAGGCGCGGCGCGGGCCTAAACTAAACCATGCCCAATTAGCCTCCGGCCTGTCGGCTTTTCGCGAACACACAGGCGCGCGCGGGCCTAAAACTAAAACATGCCCAATTAGCCTCCGGCCTGTCGGCTTTTCGCGAACACACAGGCGCGGCGCGGGCCTAAAACTAAAACATGCCCAATTAGCCTCCGGCCTGTCGGCTTTTCGCGAACACACAGGCGCGGCGCGGGCCTAAAACTAAAACATCCCAATTAGCCTCCGCCTGTCGGCTTTTCGCGAACACACAGGCGCGGCGCGGGCCTAAAACTAAAACATGCCCAATTAGCCTCCGGCCTGTCGGCTTTTCGCGAACACACAGGCGCGGCGCGGGCCTAAAACTAAAACCTTAAACCTAAACGACCCCGCTGACCGGCCAGACGGTGGCGCTGGTCGTTCCTTAACCTAAAGTGAGCCGGTGTGGTACCCACCCAAGTGAAGCTTAAAACTAAAACCCTCAGCACCTCCACCATGTACAAGTCCCGGACCCAGCAGGCAGTTTAGTGGGCCAGAGCACTTGTCAGGGATGTAGCTCTCTGATGGTCAGGGGGGTTACTCGGGAGTGAGGGTTGTAGAATAAGGAAAGAGTCCGGTTACCTTGATACAAGCTCTCAGCACTCCCGACACTTGGGTTGGTCTTGGCCGCTGGCAGGCCCCACACCGACTGCCGAGCCCCGGCACGGCTCGCCAGTCGGTTCCCTACCTTCCCGAGCATCTGCCTTCGCTTGCACTTTTCGGCTGGGCGGTCCCCGCGTGACCACCGTCACAACTTGCTTATAATTCTTTACTCTTTTTCAACAGGGCGACAACTTTCTCGTAAATCTGAATGACGTGACAACCAAAACATCACGTGATCTAAAGGCTAAAACTGCATATAAATTACTTAAACTCACAGTCACCAACGAAACAGGCTTCAATGGTGCGAAATACAAGAAGGCAGTAGGCAAACTGCAACATCCGAAAACCAAGAAAATAACATCCATTCTACTTCCTCGCCCAATCGCTAACTATAATTCAAAGACACTAAAAGAGATCAAGAAAAGGATTGAAAAGGGAAAAAATCCCTCATACACTGTGAAGAAGATTACTAGTAAGAAAAGACCTGATCACAAGGGTCACTATGATCTTGTAGATTTCCAGTGGAGTTGAAACGGTATAAACAACTTTTTTCAATATAAATTGCAACACATTACCAAGATTTTAACAATAATTTATTATTTTCTCACTTTTCAGTTTATTCCATTGTCTCATCCAACCAAATTTCTGTAACTTTTAAAAAAATAGAATTGAGACATCATCATATTTAAAGTTTCATAATATCACAGAAGAACAAATATTTTCAAATTTTTTTGTAGCAAGAAACAATAAATGATATCTACCCTCTTCCCACACACTAACTTACAGCACAAGATATTTTCTCCGTAAACATTCATTTCATCTAATACATTTATCCACCAGCCACTTCTGATACAACCTCAACGATTGTAAAGAACGAGTCAAATTCATTTAATATCAATTTATTGATATTTCAGGACATAACTTATAGCCCTGCTTTCTTTCCTTCTTGTTTGTGTTTTTTGAGAAAAATTCCTGTTTCATGTTGGAATTTTGGAAATCCGGCTTTGCTACAAGAAAGGCAAATCAATAAAGAACTTGTATAACAAAAATCAAGTCTCGACAACTTTTGGTTCATCGCAAGGAGAATTTTTAGTAAACGACTAAATTTGTTACGTAAACTTCAATAACTCAGAAAATAATGGGAGTTGAGTGCCTCAACTTTGGGTTAGAGTTCATCTTATAGTAAGCAACGTAAAACCTAAATACGAACATAATGCCACAATTATTTTATAAAATGATATTTCACATTTTTTCACTTTACAGTAACCTTAATAGAGCGCTGTCTTTGACCTCAGAGACACACAGCAAAAAGGTTTGGAAGGTAGAAGTTGAAGGTTCCGACAGTCAAACTGATGTCAACTATGCAGACCAGGAGTCAGCACCTGCAACAAGTATAAAAATGAGTAAAGGCAGGGGTAGAGGTAGGAGTAGCTACTACAGAGGGCAATTTAACAACAACGAACCCCCAGGCCAATGTGAAAGGTCTGCAAAAGTACCACCAGATTTTTATCAAGCAGCCATGTCATGGTATAATCAGGGCAAAGAGCAGCAACAATAAAAACTTAGATAGGCAGGTTGTCACTCAGTTGACAACCAAGTAACAAGGTAGGTTTACGCCAGACCGCGTCTTGTCGTAAGAGGCTTCGCGATGTCTCGCGGCCTGTTCCTCCAATCCGCGCCTGGCGTACCTACCTTGGCCTGCGGCGCTAGCCTGCCTTCGGCAGGCATTGGCTTGTCCATCGTCGGTTACTTCTTACGTGTTGCATGCTGGGGGGCCCAGACCCCCCTTAATTCTAGATAGAGTTGCTTCATCTACAGATAACACGATCTTGACCCTTGTCACTTTTTAACTTGTCGAAGCTGGGGGGCTCCGCCCCCCAGACCCCCCTTTCTTCAAGACAGAGGTGATCTACCTGCAGAAAACTCGATTTTTCGCCGTTTTTTAGGTGTTTTTCGGCTATAAAAACTGAACCAGTTGAGCTAGGATAGTGAAATTTCGCGTGTGCTGAGCCAAGAACATACCTAATAAGCCTGCAAAGTCTCAGCTAGATCGGCCGAGCCGTTCAGGAGGAGTAGTGTACACACACAGACACACAGACAGACAGACAGACAGACAGACAGACAGACAGACAGACAAAACTTTTCAACCGCACTGGAGTAACGGGCTTCGCTATCGCTCAGCCAATTATTCCGGTAAGAATTTCTACAGACTCGATAAAAATAGTGTTCTCAAATAATGCAGTAACATCGTAAACTAAACCCATAAAAAATTGAAAATCTACATGTCGCCATCGATTAATTGGCTGAGCGATAGCGAAGCCTGTTACTCCAGTGCGGTTGAAAAGTTTTGTCTGTCTGTCTGTGTGTCTGTGTGTGTGTGTGTGTGTACACTACTCCTCCTGAACGGCTCGGCCGATCTGGCTGAGATTTCGCAGGGTTATTAGGTATGTTCTTGGCTCGGCACACGCGAAATTTCACCATCCTAGCTCAACTGGTTCAGTTTTTATAGCCGAAAAACACCTAAAAAACGGCGAAAAATCGAGTTTTCTGTCGGTAGACCTCTCCTGTCTGGATGAAAGGGGGGTCTGGGGGCGGAGCCCCCTAGCCACGACAAGTTGAAAAGTTACAAGGGTCAAGATAATGTAATTTGTAGATGAAGCACCTCTATGTAGAATGAAGGGGGTCTTGGGAGCGGAGCCCCCAGCATGCAACAGTTCAGAAGTAACTGATGATGGAGAGCATTGTCTGCCGAAGGCAGCCTAGCGCCGCAGGCCAAGGTAGGTACGCCAGGCGCGGATTGGAGAAACAGGCAGCGACACATCGCGAAGCCTGTTACGACAAGACGCGGTCTGGCGTAAACCTACCTTGTACTTAAGCTTGCAAACACCAGTCCACATCAATAAGGACAGTGTCGACCCAACTAATAAGTTAAAGTGTGCAACTTGTTTTCCCTCTGAGAAAGGCCTTCTAGTAAATTGCATTGTGGCAAGTTAAGCCAGAGAAGCTACCATTGACACGAGAGCCACCATTACTGTTTCTAAAGGACTCAAAATTGCCAGTTTTAAATTGCGTCTTTACGTGCATCTTCACACAAGACATTACTGCGTGGACTGGAGTGGACGGACATTCAGTCTGAAAACCAGACTTACTGATTGGTATATGCTTCCAATTAACGAAGCTCACATGACAAAAATCAATTTAAATGTAATTTTATTGACACATTTGGAGATGTAGTCAACACGAAAACTTAAATGCTGGAACTTGAAAATGACATTCAAGTCTAATGCGAAATAGTAAACTCAATACATAACGAAAATTTCTCAAGTGCAAATTTGCCCTACCCAATGCATGCTCATTAAAGATCTTGCTGGAACCTTTTGTACAGAGGCAGGTTTCCACGAAGTTGGAAACTGACCTGGTGGTTGACGAGTCGGAATAGTCCGACGCGTTGCTTGCCATGACGATTAGTGGGTATAGTCGCCGTCCGGAGCTGGAAAGGAAACTGTCCACTTCTGCTTCACCTCCGGAAACGAAGTGCCTCACAGTAACGTCTCAGGCAAGAGCGGAGGGGGCTGATCATCGCCAGCTTGACCAGACCGGTCATCGTCAGCTTGACGGTCTAGAAACATAGAACAAAACCATGGTAAAAGATTGTGAAATGGGTGCGGGCAACGCACATGAAAGTGAACAAACAATGGGAATCCAACCACCCGAAAGAGCAGAAGGCAAGATGCATGTTGGTTTGCTGACATTTAAACATTTAAAGTCTAATATCTAACATTTAAACATTTAAAGTCGTTTAAAAAATTTAAAGTAAAATATCTGGAGGTAAGTCACACAGACAGGCATCGTACCGTGTGTGACAGGCATGTATCACTATTAAACCTTGCGGACCATTGTGTCCACATTCTCAAGTATACAGTAATAGCACATATCCTACCACTCCACCCCCACAGTGAGATGGCCTTGTTGCAAACCAAGATTACGAGGAGAAGTAAAACAGAAGGGAAGAGTAGATAAGAGTCTTGTAATAAAATTTAAAAATGTCGGTGCAGAGCAATCCAATAGCCAATGGGACAAAACACCTAAATTTAACTGAATATGAGACCCAAAACTTACACGGTGCAAAAGTTGAATTGCCATACTAACCACTAATTCCAATACAAAATGCCATTACCTGTAGACTTGGATGCCAAGATCAAAGCTACTGCTTTGCCACCAGAACAGACGGAGGAGGTAGAAAAGCTCATTCGCAAACATCACGATGTCTTCACATTTGGTCGATATCCATGGATGAGATTTAGGGTGGATATAGGAAATCATCCACTCATCAAACAGAATGCACGTTCAGTACCCCTGCAATTACAATAAAAGGTTTGTCAGACAACGATGAAATACTTAAAAATTAAAGCAACCAGGCTAGAGATGCAAAAAACGGAAAAAAACACTGTTTTTTTTCCAATGTTTCCGGAAACTTTCCGGGCATTTTCATCCCTAAACCAGGCCTAGTAAGTCACCCATAGCGGTCAAAAACATTCACACTAGCACAAACATTAACACCGGCACAAAACAATTATTGAGTGACTCATGCGGAATTATAAGCTTTGGTAGAATCAGTTAAAGCTTTCAATCATTGCCAAGCAAGACTGCCCTTCCCAATAAAATCAGATCACGCAGCCATGCAGTGGTTCAAAATTTTTAAAAATCCAACGGGCATATTATAGTAAAATAATTTTAAAAAAATATTATTCTAGTACAGTCATTATAAATTTACTGTTGTGCATACGAAAGGCATTAACTTAAGATGCATAAAAGCAGGCGTTCAGAGAGGCCTTGCAGCCCCCAATCTAAAAGGGTGCACTAAAGCATAAGCTAAAGACGCAACAGCTTACCTCATCAGTTCTACTTCAGGTGAAGATTGACCATTCGAGATGTGTTCACATCAGTTCTAAAGGCTCTGAATAATGGCCCAGTTGTTCGTTCAATTAGCCCAAAAGGAAATTCACTTCTCCGTTTGCCAGCCAGACTGAAGAATGGTTCCAGGTCCACAAAGAGTTCCAGTCCAACGTAAACAAAACGTTTCTAGGGTTTTGTCATAACACTGCAAACACAACAGATTCCACGTTAATAATGCCCACGTTAGTACTGTCACAGTTGCTGAACAAATTGCGTAGAGATGATTACTCCACAGCATCAAAAACAAATTCCAAGTCAGCTTCATTGCCGAAAGCACACACAAAGAAACATCAAAGCCAAGCAAATAACTTCATGTTGTTTTTACCCAATACCCACGGCGGCTTGCCTTTCAATAGGTTGACCCATGATAAATCTTCGTGCCAGGGTAAAAGTCTGTTGAACATTCTGGCAAACAACGTCGACCTCATAACAACTCTGCAACAATATTAAATTAGTCAAACTTGTCTCACTTTTCTCACGTTCATAACATTCAAATGGCAACTTACGTACTTTGGTGAAAAGTCAAGCAGGTAGATAAATAGAGCGGCACACAGACAGGAAGCACCGAAAGGAGTTTGGCAAACGTCCTAGTCTCAGGCCTTCACAGAATGGATTGCTTGCTCGCTCATGCTCATAAAATTTATGTAGATCTCCTTCCAGTACTCCTCGTCTTCCGAAGGCGACGAACTCCGTCGACGCCGCAGTGCAAGAAACCCAAACCTGTTGCAACAAGAACATTGATTAGTTTCCCAGTCCAACATCGAAACCCAGACTAGGGCCCTATCAATCATTGGTGAAAAGTCCCCCCGGATGCAGTTGGTACGCACCAGCAGAAAGAGGAAGTCGACACACTCCCCTATCAAAGAAAAATCACAAGAACTTACCGAAAACCTGGCTCCACATCGAACTGCGTATCAAGAAGTTTCCTCGAACGAATCATCACCCAAGAAAATACGGACACTGCAACAGAAACATCAAGGTTCTACTCACTACAAATTAATACATGCGCCCGAACTGTTTCAAAAAGAAGGGAGGAGAAGACTATACGCTGCAGGAACAAACTCATTGGAAATGCAAATTTTGAAACAACAGGAGGAGTCCAGCAGAGAGCAATTTGAACAAGAAAGTGCAAGCTAGAAAACACCGACAAGCATTTGAATGAAGGAAGTCATGAAGAACCGGGCGAAGACGCGGACGGAAGATAAGTCCTATTATGCGCATGTACTGGACTTGTACTTCACAGAGTCAGAACGAGAAGAAATTACACAAGAAATCACTGACAGAAGCAACCACAACCACCCAATCAACCA